TAACAAAAAAGTAAAACTAAAATTCTAAACACTTAGTATAAAAAAATAAAAAAAAAAAAAATAATTTTTTACAATATATCCCAGGTTTATCATGTCAAAATTTTCATAAGTTAAAAAAAATATTATTACCATTTACAGACCATTGAATAAAATTAGTCAAATGTTAAATAAATCTAATGGAGAAAACAGGTATTTATATAACGTTCAATATAAATGCGGTCGTGCATACATTGATCAAACATGAAGAAACTTAAAATTTAGAATAAATGAAGACGAATATTTTAAAAACAAAAGTGAAAACTGCATTAGCAGAACATGCAAATTATACCGGATATATCATCCAGTGGAAAAGAAACGGTTATTTTGGCTCATCAGAATATAATTGCTAGAAATATTATAGAAATCACAAAAATAATGAAACACAACAAAAACAACTTGATCTTAAATAAGGATGAAGGGTTAGAAAATCAGTAAGTATTTAGAATGGCGTTAACTTTTTTTTAATTTTAAACTAGTCACAGGACCATAGCTTTTGTACTTGTATAGCACACTGTAATTGTTTTCCACTCCTGAAGATGACGTGGAAATATGTTGAAAAACGTAGTGATTTTTACTATCGTTGATCGGTTTAAATAAAGATTTTGTGTATTATAAAACGTTGCTTGTTTGTGGATATATATTATATATATATATACACAAGTTCCTTGAATTTTAACCTTATAATATGACCTTTGTAATGCTTTATTACGGATGTCCGTGTCATCCCTACATACAGTGCTAGCACACTCTCCAGTTAAATTTGACAGCTATTATTAACCACCCATTATATAAAAAAAAGTAGGTATATTAATACAAAAGGCATTGATCATAATACATTTAAGGCTGCTGATTATATTACCTAATGAATGTTATTTAATGTGCAAATATTACGTGCATAGCATCTCTCAAAGCCGTATTATGCTAACTAGAATACTGATCCCCCCCCTCATATGTCTACGTTAAAATGGTTTAATTTGTAGTCTTTAAAGTTTTAAACTATATAGTTTATGTCTCTATGACATATATCATGTTGTTTTTATCACTTACTTCATTATCTTTGATTTGTTTCTTTTTTTTCCACCAGAGATATTTCTCGCTGGTAGCCCATAGAGTGGTTCAGTTTAACCCCCCGAACTCTCTGGCTACATAAAGAAAGACTTCAGGTTTAATAGAAGAAATATGGTCATGTTATATTGAATTACCAGGTTTAAAAATATCGGTTTATTCTTGCATGCTAAACTTGACAGTATTGATATAATTTTACCCAGTTATAAATAAAATAGTTCATATATTCTGCTACGGTTATCGTCGTCTCAGTGTACGTGATCTACACCCTTCGTGCTTGTTCTTTTATATTACTTTGCTTTAGATTTTCTAAGTAAATTTTCTGTAACTTGCGTTTTTCGGATAGTTGAATTTACTGTCTACAGTTTGATACTACTTCCGTAGCCACATATTTTCCTACCTGATACTCTCCTATCATAGACATTTGTAAAATGTGAAGCGTTTATGTTGTTAAACTAAAATTAATTGAATAATCTATCAGTAACTGCTGAAAATTCTTTAACGTCCATGAATTAGTTTAGAATTCTAACAAGTATCTCGACGGGGCCTAGTAGTACAGAAACAGGCTTCTCAAAAATCCAATCTCGAAAATAGTTTTCTGCACTTTGAAAATAAAATGTCCTATAGACACCAATTTCTCATGCTATAATCATAAAAGTCTCATCTAAAATTATACCTTCAGTGTTAGGTTGATATTTTTTTATTAAACCATATATCCGAAAGAACCACAATATATATAATAAAATCTAATTTTACCATGGGAACTGATTATTAGTTTCAACCTATTTTCATTTGAAAGGTTTACCTCCTGTTCAAGCCAAATCAAACGTTGAACTTTTTTTCGTCAATGTAACTCAATATTTTTTTTATGTAGTTAATTTCTATAACCTTGTATACAAATGGTAAGCATTTTTTCCCTCCTTGATACAATATTCATATTTCTCTTTATTACATCTATATATATTTTACTTAATGTATTTTTAAATTAATTTCAATCAAACAAACTTAGTCGTTCAAGATACTTTCTGCAGTTAAATATCAAAATTAACAGGACCAACTCCGAAAAAGTTGTTGTTTGTTATTAAGCACAAAGCTACACAAGGGCTATCTGTGCTCTGCCCACCACGGATATCGAAACCCGGTTTCTAGCAGTTTAAATCCGCAGACATACCACTGTGGGCTTCGAAAAAGTTTTGGAACTATCAACTCTCAGTAGAAAAGGAGTGACAATATATAAAATTTCAGATAATATAAATACAAAAGTTTTGTTTTGAGAACATATTTTAGAAAACATGAGGATGTCTGTTCGTATATGTATGTATACATACATTTGAAAAACCAACAACAAAGAATCCACAATTCTTTGTACTAGCAGAGACCCGCAAAACATTTCCGGCCAAATTAGTATCTTTATCGTAACAGTACTTCTTTAAATATAACAATTCTAGCACAATATAAACGAATTGTAATCGTAGACAACAAAATGTGTAAATCCACTTGTATATAGGCCGTACTTTATAAAACTTTAACATATGTTAGGCCTAAGTTCGATAGATAAATTAACATTATAACCTGTGTACGTTATTTTTTTACTGTAATTAATACTATCGATAAACTTTATTATTCTCCGACCTAACGTCAACCTTTTTTAAAACTTTGATAAGTTTAATATTCTGTTGTACAAAATGGTTAGTAAAGTATATTTACATTCCCATTTGTTGTTACTTCTTGTTTGTCGTCGAGTGAATAATAGCGCATGCGCGGTTTTT